CTTACTGATGCTGGTAAAAGTAGTGAGATCCAGATGTTAGTGGTAGGCTGAGTTTCACCTTTTTTGCGCCCAGATTTCGGATTAGGAGACTTGAGGCGGCGTTAGGTTCATTCCTTTTCATCTGTGGTGACATCGCGTCTGGGGAATCATCTCTTGAAGCAGGACACGTCGTAGGTTGCGTCTCTCCAGCGGGGGGAGCCTATTTGCCTTTGAAAATAAGCTTCGGTTGTCGAAGTTTATCGAGTTTTCCTGCCCCTTGCTGAGGCTCTTCGAGTGCGCTACACCCCCCTCCCCCATTCAACAAAATTTTTTTGAGAAGAAAAAAGGAAATGCTGGGAGAATTTAGGTGAATGGTAAGCAGGATGAGGTAGGGGGATGGGGGAGGGGCGAGATGGGTATGTGTACCAGGGAGGGAACTCTTTGGGCGCAGGGGTACGCAATCACTACTGCACGACCTTTCTCCGACGGCTTTCTTGGAAAACATGAAGCATGGCACGCAGGGAAGACCTTAGGGGCATGACTTGTGATTGCTACGCAGGTGCGCGTTCTTGCCGTAAAGAAAACGGCGCAGTAGGTAGTCGACTTACTCTTTGGCTTGCGCCACCGCCTATTGGTGTTTTCCTGGAATCGTAGTGGGACTTGAATGGCTAGTTATGACCTTACGGCGCGGCACGCGCATGACTGATCAAGTTCATCGCTTCCAGCCTCGTTGGCGGCGCTAAGGACATTGAATGAAATACGTGAATTGAATCTTTCACCCGGATAAGCGAATTTCGGCGAGCTTTGGCTAACCTGAGCGGAATCCGGCACGTCAGCCGGCACACCCCCAGTCGTCGCGTGGAGCCTCGTGAGTACTCAGTAGTACTTGTAAGAAAACGGATCGAAGTCGTACAAGTCAAGTCAGCTTACCAAATAGTCTCTACTTCTGGACGGAAGTTCAACTGGTGCCTATCCCTAGTAGAGGCTTGACTTCCCCCACGCTTATAATGCGAGCCGGGCGCTTCGTCTAAGTGTAGGCCCGAGACACATTGTTTCCCACTGTCCTTACAAGATATTTCCACTTTGATGAGCGGAATTTCGGCGACTTCGCTAACCGAGCGTAGAACGATTCTCGGCCCGATGCACTAAGCGCAGCAGTGCCTTTCGCTACTCTCCCCGTCTACAAGTGGGTTTTCTTGCGAGTGCAGAGCTACTAGAAGTATCGATAGTCAGTACTCAGAAGCACAGTACGTTTCCAAAGGTTTTTCATGTGTCGGTTTCGGGCCCCTGCACGGGGTAGTTGGCTACAATACCGCCTTCGTTATGTGGACGTTTTACTACTGGAATTCACCGCTGCATCAGAGAAATGGTATATCATATCTTTCTTTCCATTTTTTCGTTTAGTTTTTCACGGAACCGATGACGACTTTGGAACGACCTTTGCAACTTCCCTTCAATGGAAACGCCAACAACTGGCGCCGACTGCCATCAGCAGACGACCGACCACCGTCGGAACCGCGAACGAATGGTGGTGAGTGAATTCTGTAGATCGGACTCCTTGTTATATGGGTGGGTAAAGAAGCTAAGCAGATGAGGAGACGTTAGCTCGATTGTGGCTAGCCTACCGGTCTCTTCGGAAAAGTCACATTTCCTTATTCAAAAGTCAACTTATAGGGTATGGGATGTTCCACGTTGCGGCGGCACCCACAAAGCAGCAGAGTAGTCCCAGCTCGTTGAAAATAACTGAATAAGGCTAACTTCAGGTCCCGAAATATTCTCCTAGACAGCTGCGAGGTAGCATAAGGATTATACACACGTAGCTGTGTATAACCCTTATGTAGGGCTGAAAACGAGTGTACTTGCTGAAAATTGAGTGCCGTGCAGGGCGAATGGGTAGCCGACAAATGATAGGTTAGCGTTTTGATCCCTTCTTACTATGATGGGCAGGCGGGCGTGGGCAGCCGACAAATTCTGGGCTAAGGTTTTAATTCCGTCTTACGAGATTTAGTACAACTGAGCAGCCCCTGGATTAATGCAAGAGGGGGACCCAGCTGGCTGAGCGGCTTTTTTCCACGAAAGGTCGCTGTACGTTCAACATCGTGAGACTCTGACTGGGCATTAGCAGTACTATACATTTTTCTTGAGCTCTTAACCATATCCTGGGAAGTGTAAATCCCATGCCCCGTTGTCAGCACTGCTTTTATGAGGTCTTCCCTATAATTCCTAAGAAACACATCAGAGCACAAGTAAAACTCAATAATTTGATCTGACAATGGGGCTTTCCCCGCTGAAGCTTATCTCTATATCCCGGAGATTGTGGGAAAAAACCCCGGAATGAAACAGCAGCAAGGGTAGTGGCCACGAAATTGCAGGTCTTGCAGGGGCTTATGAGAACCTGAGGACAGGGTGCAGCGTCGTTGCGTGAACACATAGGGGGGAGGTCGTACTTTCCGCTGGGGAGAGGATCTATTTGG